TGTCCGGGGTCGGCGGGAATCGGCCGCGGCGAGCTTGGGGACAAGGTTGCGCCCGTGTGCCTGTTGACCGATCCACGAGGCTCGACCAGCTGACCCTGGAGACGGATGGGGTTTGACGGAGTGGGTGAACGATTAGGAACCCCAGTCCGCCCGCTGCACCCCCTCGCGTGCCACTTCCGATATATTTTCTAGGGTTTACCCTCCGCCCCGGGTCAGGGGTCGCAGCGCGTGTCCCCCCTCGTCGTGATACAACATGGAGCGACGCACCCGGCGGCGACATAGCGTGTGGGGGTGTGTTCGTGCCAGGGCAGGCCCCCGAGTCTGTGCAGGGAGGCCTAGTGTGCCGGCCTCCATGACCAGTAGGCCGGACCAACGTAACGCCGTGCTCCGCTCGTCCCCCGTCGCTGTAAAGGGCAGGTGAGACCACGAAGGATTCGATTGTGCGGTGAGGTGGGGGCTGCCATTCTGGACCCCGGCCATGGATCTGCCCCGCGGGGGCCAGCAGACAGGATAAACTGGCACATATCCATGTCTCGTAATCCAGCGTGCATGCCATAGACTGCCCCGGGTGATTGGAACTAACTCGCGAAGCTCACCGCGTGAACGCCGTCCCACACAAGCATGGTCGCCATGGTCGTGGTTCCATCCACTTGCCGCGATTCCTTTACGTGGCTGCCGGCGGTTTCGGAGACTGCAGTCGGACGAGCCTTGTGACGCAGCGGTGTGACCCCCTGCGTTCCAGGCGGCCTGTGTACGTTCCTGGTCACTGACCGCGCCCGCCAAGCGCGGCTAGACGCCACCGAAGCCGAAAGTAGCCGAATGTATTTTCCCAGGTACGCAGCGCAGCGTGGTCCGTGCCCTTTGGCGCCTTCAGTACGATCGCTTGAGGCTCGGGCCAGCATGAGGTGCGCCCAGGGCCCCCCGACAGGTGTACCCCGGGGAAGGTAGTACGTCACGCCAGAGCCCAGTCGACGTGTGGGAGCGGAACCCGTACATTGTATGCCACCCTGTCTTGCCCACACAGGAGGCAGACCCGAGTAGCCGGTGGCCAACAGCGGTTCGATCTCAAAGGGTGAGCTCCGGCACGGGCCGAGGTATCATCACCAGTACCGACAGGGGGAGGGGGGCGGGGGGGCACGTGGCAACAGTACCACTCGATCAGGTGTTGGTGTGTCCCCTCTAAGGCCGTCATGCCCACGGCCAGTAAGGTGTGTTAAGGCCGGCGTCTTGGACTTATAGTAGAGTGCACTCCGGGACAGTTAGCCTAGGGTTGGACACGCCTCTCCTGGACGAAGGTAAGGCTACAGCAGGCATGCCCAGAGTTGTGTGAGCCCCTATCCACGACGCGGGGCAGAGCATACGTCGATCCTTCCAACCTTAGTACTTGGGCAACTAGAAAACGTCACGGTGGAGACCCGTCAGAAATGCAAGCTGCTACTGTGACGATGTAGAACGCCGCGCGAGAGCAAGCGAGGCGCGATCAGTGCTCCAATAACAAAGGCCAGAACAATCCATAAAGGAGAATGACTACCCAAGGCCGATGGACGTCCTCACCCCCCGTGCATCAAGTGCGCCCGTTCCGCTGCCTTTTCCGTCTCGCTGCTTTCCCGTCGCAGCCACCCCGGGCTGCTCCGTCCCATAACCAAACAGAGACGACACCGACAGGGCAGATGGCGGACCGCACCCGTGGGCCGCGCCCCATCAACCGGAGCCACCCTACCCTTCAAAGGAGTCCAAAGAACATTCTCCTGCTTGTGAGTTTGGAAACGGCGGTTTAGAGGTGTGGCTGCGCACCTCACGGTCCGTTTTCGCGCGTGCATTTCCAATACACGCTTCTCGCACATAGCACACCGGTCCACCATGACATTTTTAATTTCTGCGACCGGAGCTCTCGGTCAGATCGCACGCCAAGGGTGTGCCGAAACTGGACAACTGAGCTCTTCCCCAAGTCACGTTGTGCGTTGAGCCTCAAGTGGGGTCTGCAACATGGGCAATCTAAATAGCTGGGTGTCGGTTGCAGATTCTTCTCTGACAACGACCGATAAGGAATGGCGGTCAATCGCACATCAGTGGAGATTGGATCTCACTAAAACTCCCTCCGGAGCTCGCAACCAAGGCGTGAGAGCCCAAGCCGCCTCTTACACAGATCCACACCCAGTTTGAGGCGGACTAGTCCCATATCTGCAGATGTCCTCAACCCGATGCGTCTCCCTCCGCAGCGCATCCAGTGCGTTGCCGGTGGCGAGTCTGGAATACGCGGGGTTCGCCGATTGCTGCCTGCCTGACAATTGGTGGTCGCGCCCAGTGGCCTGCTGTGGCCGAGGACACAGGTCCCCCGATCACCTACACAGCAGCCGCCGATGGGGCACGGCTGCCAGTGCGCCCCATGTACACGAATACTATTGTTCTCAGATTTCAAAGCACGGATGTGTGGTCAATTGCCTTCTCCGCACGCTCATGCACGTTTTCGCCACATGCCGAGGGAAGGATAATGTTAAATTTACGCCGAATTCACGATCCGGGAGTTGCATATACATTCGTAATGTTAGCTCCGACAACAATAATGGTAGAATATTTGATATGGACTGATTTGACTGTCTTATGGCCTGTTCCTTGATCAAGCAATAAAGTATAGAAATGTCATGTACAGCCTCTTTGGCTATACAGTCACATTATTACAAAAAAAGGTAACATGGTCTTGCGGGGGGGGAGGAAGTCCGACCCCAACAGGGTTGTGGTAGATGCAAATATGCCAGCAAACTACGCACTCGGCGTTTTAGCCTACAAAGGCAGGTAGCGTGTCACTGTCAGGCGCACCTTCACAACATGCATGTATCACGACCTGACAGTACGGATGACATAGTCGAGCGATGCTATAGTGAGCGTAGGTACACCCCACTCCGTGGGGTGGCGTCCCAGAGCTGCTTTAGCTGAATCACTCTGGCGCAGCACAGGCATTCTTGTGCAAACCGAGTGTTTCTCGTGGACTTGACGTCTCTACGCCGTGAGTGTGGACAACACGGGATTCTAGCCCACGTAAAACCCGATAAGACCGCCAACTGTGAGAGCAGATGCCTGTCACGGGCACCTGTTCGCGATTCGGCTGGGAGTCAACCAAATGAGCCATGCGATCACCGAGAACATCTGTGTAGCGACGACAGACTGCCCTGATCACCCAGCACGCCCCAACAGGCGCGCTGCTGAAATCACCCAGCCAGGAAATAGGTCGGTCGTCTAGTGGACCCCTAACAAGCCCGGACACACAGACCGGGAGTCATCCACGGAGGCGAAGCATCATGAGGTGCCTATAGAACATGAATCACAGCACCGCAAAGCGTTGTCACTCAGGACATATACAACATGTACCGGGACCGTACGTGCTTAATAAAACAGCGTAGCCAACACTTTTTCTTTGGAACCCTCTGGATGTAGTTTCCTGGACAAAGCTTCCGCAAGCCAAGGCAACAGGCATCAGAAAGGCGCTCACACACCGTTTACACTGAAAATTATACCTACTGATCGCGCCATGAATGAGGCCCGGAGTTGGTATCCACCCCACACAGGCGACGGGCCAACGATCAGGCAGATCGGATCATTCTTACGACAAATATCGCGAAGCCCCAATGAGATCGCCACGGTGGGTGCTGACGAGCGTGAGCCGTAACCACCACCGCCAGTAGACAACATTGTATAGGCCTAGCACACACTTCCTGAAGCTTGAAACAAAACTATGGCTGCAAGCGAGACGTAGTTTTCAAGATGTCTTGCAGTCGCCGCAATTAGTTCGGATATTTCCCATACGCGCTGGCTAGGGCCCCTTACACCCAATGACGAGTCATTACATAACATAAGTCTAGCGGCTACGCCAGCTACCACATTGCGACCAGTGTGCAAGTGCGGATGTCCGCCGGTCCGGCGCCTCCTTTGCGCCCCCGTTTACCGGGGGTCCCAAAGTGCTTAGCTGCCGCACCTCGTTTCCACACCCATGTCATGAGCTGCTGTAGAGACGGCGCCTCAGGCCGAGGGTCTATAGCGAATTCGATTGTGGGCATATCGCGAAGACCGACAGGTATGGATCGTTGTTGCTCGGAGGTTTAGGGGCTTGAGGACGGCGTACTAATACCAGTCCAACCCCGGCGAAGCCTTTGGCTCAATAGCCCTGACCTGCACAAGAGCACGGTGCGGTGGGTTTGGTAGGGGTCCGTATGGCTTGAGGGGACTCCACCCCGAGCCATTTTCTCAATACGCCCGGCCACCCACAACGTGCAGTTGGGGTCTGGGTTTTTGAGGTATAGTTGTCTTGCAGGGTACTCCACCCGGCAGTCCTTTGGCTTCGCGGTAATAATCGCCTACCCACCAAAGCAAGGCAGCGGTCGGCCTAGATGTCCTAATACGACTCTTAGACTAGGATGGAGGGTTTTATAAGGGCGTGTGAGAACGGCCCGATACCAAGGTGGCGCGAAAGGAGGCACCACAGGTCCAACTCGGTGAGATGCAACGACAATAGGTGTGTGTGGGGGGGGGCGCATGTGGGGCATAGCCAAAACGAGCTCAAATGACGCCATCGTCGGCAGCTCCGGCCCAGATAATACCAAAAACATGCACACCAGGAGCACGACCACACGGTTGACACAGGTGCCAGGTACCCTACCCACGCGCTACGCACCTGTGTGTATGCTCACACAGCTTATGGACAATGGAACTGAGATTAGGAGGGCAACTTTGTGAAAAAGCTAGTAAACAGGCGCGGTGGATATAGCGTGTGCTCCTAGAGATATCAGATAGACCATCCAGATTTCCCTAGACCCGATGGCGTGGCCTAAACCGGGTGCGCCTGTGTATACCTAAAGGAGAATGAAGGCAAAAGGGGACATGTATATGGGGATACTCGGTATACATGCAGCAAAAGTCGGGGAAGACGAACGTGCGTCTCCATCGATTTGAGAGGCGCAGCAAGAGTTGTGGGAGGTAGGACACGCGACCCGTGGTTAACTAAGGACATGCCTTGTGTAGTTCTTGCTTTTGACCGACCCGCCTCCCATAAGGCCCCTGGGCGAATGCCAGGACCGCACTACAGACTGTTTCAGCCCGACGTCACCAAGCCCCGTGGCGCGACGAAGGTTGCACCAAAGCCAGACGAAGTGCTTGTAGCTGTAGGTCTTGTGTGTGCGTTAGGAACCGGGAGCAGTGTGGGGAGTGAGGCAGCACTGATGGCGAAGGAGAGCCGGTTGGACGGGGGTGGCCAGGGGGGGGGGGGGCGGTGGGTGAGCGGAGACCTACCTGAAACCAAACTAAAGCAGGCAAGGGGGGCGTCGAGTGGTGCAGGTCTTCGTTTTTTATGACATGTGCCGCGGCTAAAGAATCGGGGGGGAAAAGTGACGAAAATTCCCTCGAATGAATATCAATACGAGCGCGAGTAATAAATAAATGTAAACAAGTTATGTATAAATTGTTCCCTATGCGCCCTCATCATCATCTATGATTCAATTTGAACCGTGTAACCACGGACACATACGCTCCCCGGCGAGGATACGTGCCCCCGCACACTGGCTTGGTAGGGTGGGCCGCGCCGACCATCGGGCGGCCTGTGAGGCTCGGGGTGGTATGGTACTTTAATGCAGCTCCAAGTGCGCCTGCTCGCCTGCCGCTGAGCGCCATCTATCGGCTCCAACAGAAAAGCGACTAGTTAACCGAGCTCTATGATAACTGATCCTCTGGAACATCGAAAGCAAGAGTTAGCCTACGGGTCTCGGCCCGGCTCCCCAGACTTCTCCAGGATAGTACAATAAATCTCCGATTGTCGACCCATTCGCGGTGATTATAAGCTATGAGACTTTCTTGAAGACTATTGCCTTTTATAACAAAGGAGATTTATATTTTCAAAAAATATAAAGGATTGGTTTCGAATACAGACGGCTAAACTATTTCAAAATGGACTTATGTACATTCATTAAATAGTGGGATATCTAATATACATTTACTGCTGGCCGATTCCTGACATCAGTGTTAAGGCGCATGCTAACCTTGGGGTTGCCAAGCCAAACACTTTCGTATCCATGAGCTGCGTGAAGTTCCAATAGTGCTCTTTTTCCGGCCTGATTTCCAGCCCCACAGTGCGAAAGAAACTTTGTCTCGTGAGCTCTACAAAAAACCATCGTCCCCTCCATCTTCCGAGTTCAAAAATATTATATACCCTTTAACAGATATACAAAGCCCATACTTAAATATTACACGTCAACCGACACGTTCCTCCTTCGAGTGCATCTGAAATTTCAAGGTACCGACCGACTTGGGGCTGACACCAACCTTCTATCCACACCCACACCCTTATCCTGTGTACTAATCAACCGAAATGACAAAATCGACTCACATTCCCAAGTGCACGTGCAGCCGTCACTCTGAGTGAGGCTGAGCTCACATGCCCCGCCACCCCCCTCCAGTATCTAACCAGAGGTGCCGCCCCAAATCCGAAAACCGTTTGCTCCACGAGGACCCCTCGGACCCGTAAATGGTCGTGAGTCATACAAACCCTGTCGCCCAACCCGTCCTGGTCCGCCGCAACATGAGAAAAATCACCGGCCACTAAACCCCCCTCTAGATGCCCTGGACACAGCAGCGAAGAGAACGACACAACAGCTTCCATAGGACTCAAAACACCGGTATATATAAACGGGTGCACACCAGCCCCCAAACGGACGGCTGTGTGCTCTTGGAAGAGGACGGGCACGGAGGACCCGTGGATACAAGTGAGAAGGGGGGGGGGGGGGAGCCCACGGGGGGGAATAATACCGAGTGAGGTGAGACACGTTAGGGGGATGGGCCGGCGCCCGAACGGTAAGGGCTCAGACCGAGGGACGACAGCGTGGTCAACATGGGGCTCAGCGGACCGCGCATTACTGCGAAGGCGATATCAGGTCGGTGAGGGGCCAAGTCACGGAGTATATACCCGAAGGGAGCGTGAGCGATAGTTTGGTATTTGTAGGGGACTTAATCCGCAAAACGTGGGGATCAGAGACTTGGGGGGAGGGAGAGGCCGGGTCGATCGGCATGGCCCCATCCCCCGAGTGAGCGCTGAGTCGGGTGCGCCGAGTAGGTACGGCCTGGGGAACCCCGAGGCTTCAGTTTTCGAAGTAAGCCAGCCGGGGCGGATGGGGCATGTGCGGCCGTGAGTCGGGAGTGGTGAGGGGGCGAGCAGAGCTTGAGTACGGGGAGGACCGCAAGGTATGGGTACATGGGGGGGGCGGGGGAGAGCAATGCCACACCCGGGTACTGAGGGCCACAGTTTTATATTCGGGCTGCTAAGAGGTAGTGGAATGTAGGGAACGCCTTAGCATGTTAAAAAAAGTAGTGTAAAGTAATAGAATTAGTAGTAGGCCCGAGCGTTGGACCGGGAGCTCCGCCACTCTAAAGGACCACAGCGGCAGCATGCTCGGGCGGCACCCGGGGGTCGGGGGCCCGACCAGCCAGTAACGTCGCTAGGCGGAACATTAAGGTGGAAGGGTGGTACCGGCGTTCTGCGCAGGTGCCGGGGGCAGAGGGCCCGTCCGAGGGTCGGGGGACGGAGGCGACCGAGAATAGGTACCTCAGAGAATGGCGGCGAAATAGGTAACGAAATATCTTTCCGCCAACTAGTGCGTGGGAGGCAGGGAGGGGCTCCAGGTTGGCGGTGATGGGGCAAGGTTGGGTGGAATCGAAAGGGGGGGCCCTGGCGTTTGCACACACGTCGCGACCGGAATCTACTGCCTTGGGAACAATATAAGGGGCGGGAACCTGGCGCGGCTGTATCCCATAGCCGGAAGGAAAGGGGACAGTAAGGGAATGGGCGGGCGCTGCCGGGCAACGGGAGGGCGCGCGCGCCGCGAAAATCACGACTTAGGCCGGGGGAAACCAAGAGGGGGAGACCGTGCGGGATGGGGCAGAATGGAGAAACAAAACGGGCTGGACGCTACGATGCAAGCAAATCGAGGCCAGTGGCCGTCCCACCACTATCCGTATGGGGTGGATTAAAATAACAGTGGAGCCGGGCATAAGAGCGTGAGCGTAGGGGGCACGAGACCTGGAAGCACAGACCAGCATTAGATAGCTACGAACTTGACCCCATGGTTCGCCCTGGCGCCCCCCTACGTGTCAGACTTCACAAACGGTATGGTGGGAGGGGGCATCGCGGAAAAGTAGGTGCATAAAATGGACCCCCATAGGGGGGGGGGCCAAGCAACGCCCTTACGGTAACTTTGTCCTACTATAAAAGCAGAAGGCCGCTAACAAGTCGGAAATTAACAGAAGTCAAACCAGGTAGCGGATCCGGGCGAGTCATGGGAGCGGGGGTGCCGCCATCCCCGGGTGGGCCCCACAGCAATTCATACGTTCATCCCCCAGGCGGCGGTCGGAGCCAATGAACCGAAGGGGGCCCGGCCCGGGTTCCGGCGGGCGCCCCACGCCCGGTCGCGCAGGAAAGAACCGACGTCGCGCCCGACTACTCGCCGCGCAGCAGCCTGGGATGTTCCAGGACGAAAGTGCGGCAGGTGCATGGGGACGTCCTCAGGCTGGCGCCCCGAGGAGATATGTGGTCCAGCCGCCCACGTGGCAGCGCTAAGCTGCGCGGGCGACCACCCACGGCGGTGCCGCATCCCCCAAGACCGGGCAGAGAGTGACCAATGTGGATCTGGAAGGCATAGGTGTGCAGAGTGGCTGGAGCCTACAACACACGTGGAAAAAACTGGGAGTGTCCGGTGCCCCAGTCACTGTGGGCTGGAAGGGCCGGCCCCTGAAAACGGGCGGACCTGGACCGGCATAGGGAGACCCCCACCCGTATCGGAAGGCTCAGCAGTGCGTGACCACAGATACACCGCGGGGCCCGGGGGCAGCAGGGTGAGGGGTTGGAGGGGGGGGCACCTGGCCATCGGTGCGAATGCCCCCCCAGGACCGATGCAACCAGACAAACGCCTCGAGCATCTGTGCACCTGGTGGCTCAGTGTAAATGTGCTGGGGCGGCGGAGCAGCCCTAGGGTGCAAGGAGGGGGGGGCGAGGCCAAGAATAGGCATGGGCTGTGGCGCTGCGCGGTACAGGAAAGGAGTAGAGAAGAAAGACAGAATATTGATGAAAAGCAATATAAATATGATATATATAAGGTAATATATATATCGAAGGCCGCCTGCTCCACATGCCACACCTTTGACACTTAATGATAGGAACAACCCCCTCTGCTGTAATTGCCCGTCACGCCACACCACTGCTCCCCCCCGCAGCCCCGCCTTACCTAACCATGCAACCCACTGTCCCCACTCGCCCTCTCCGTCCCCACCCGTTGCTTACGTTCTCACACATCCGCTCGTGTGTCTACCGTACGTCAAAAGCCCAGCGCTCCACTCCACAACTACAAATGTCTTCACGTCTTCGCGCACGACCATCCCATCCGGTCCCACCATTCATGTGTGAAGCCCCCTTCTGTTACTCTTGTCCTGCCAAACCTATTCACCACTCGCCTCAGGTACAAGACCTACTCAACTCCGCACACTGGCCATAAAGCATGTACATGTGACGGGGCTATCCAGACGCGCACGCCAGGCTGCCACTCAGCCCCCCTCCACCCCGTCCCCCCCGCACCCCAGAAATGCCGAGACCGTGAGCCCGGCGAGCCTGCCGCAGCCCGGTACTCCCAGAAGCTGCTGCGCGTCATTCAGTACCGCCACGGACCTACAGAGCGAGTGGACCCCTGCTACGGCCGAAGAGCTCACGTAACCCGGCGAGTATCAGCCGAGTGGACCGGTTCAGTTATCGGCGGGAGGGCATAGACCTTTGGGGGTTTGAAGGGATGATGGGGTGCAGGCCAAGTCAGGCCCGGGAGGGGCACCCCGGGTCCCGCGGTAGTCCCGGGTCTCACTCCGGAAAGTAAGACATAATGTGGTGAGAAGAACACACAATAAAAGAGGGGGGGACCAGCGGAAGAGTCAAGAGTCAAAGTCGAGAGAACAGGACCCCCGCCGGTCCAGTGGTGGGTCCTTGCCAAATTGCCGTTAAAGATCCGTGAAAACAAAGGCCACGCCCTCTGCGACAGGGGAAGGGAGGGTTCCCATGTTGTGGGGGGTGGCTGTAGATGACACATGGGGGACGACCGTGGCACCGGGGGGGGGGGGGAGGTAGCCCGGCCGAGCCGATTAAACACTAGACATCATAAATTTTTAGCCACACCGCTCTTTACATCAGGTGGGGGCGTACTGTGGAAACCGCCTAAGACAGAACCAAGGGATGGATTTAATAAAAAATATTAAAGCGAAAACCAAAAGAAAACCACACGAAACGCACACAAGAGGGAAAAATATTAGACCCAAAGTTATAGCACTAGGGGTATATAATAGTCAGGAGCAGCAACTATACGTACGGCTAGAGCACGTGAGGCGACCTAACGAATAAGAGCTCCCGAAAGTGCGCTCCCCAACCCAGGGATAGCAAAGTTGAGTAGATAACCGCATAAAAGGAGAACTAAACAACACACAAATTAAGAAGAAATGAAATACACATGAACTAACAGGTAAACGTAGGGGTTGGAGGCCAATGTAGACACGAGAAAAGCCAACATCAAAACCCAAACAACAAGGTCATTAGAAACAGAAACAAAAACAGAACTAAATATACAAAAGACACACGAAAAAAAAAACACAGTCCAAAATTCGGCAAACCGAAAACAAATGGACAGACCAATTAAAGAACAGAAATGTAGCCAAAAGATAAAGAGAAAGAACGCAATAAAAGCCTCCTAGCAAAGCCTCGCCAACCACGGACACCGGCTACACATATATCGGCACCACACCGCAACTAACTTAAAAACCTCAACATACATATTACGCAATGAGGTAAGCCACAAGGAAATAAAGTGCCTTGCACCACAACAAAAGCGAACAACAGAATGCTCACACAAAAAACGCCGGCACATATCCACCAAAGTGCAGAGGTCCACAACTAGTTAACCAGCGATAATACACCAGCCAAAGATCTATTCAAGATATAAAAAAAATTAGGTATCCTCTACCCCTGTTAGAACACGGAAACTTAACGCACACCCATAATAAAAGGTAAGTACAGTAATGCCGGTCACAAAGGAAAAAAAAATGTTTGGGGTGCGGTATCTTCCTGGCGAGCCCGTCTGCGGGGGTGTGGCTGACGGGAAAGCACGAGCCCCAGGCGGGACCGCCGGGTGGGCAAGCCGAACTGTGAAAAAACAGTGTCAGGTTGGCCAAGCGGAGCGGGGGGCGCGACGGTGCCGGCCGCGTGCGCTGCGGGAGCCGGATCGGAAACCAAAAATGCGGCAAGTTGAAAAGGGGTTGCAGTAGAACCCAGGCCACATGCTGTGGGAATCCCGTACGACCATTCATCGGCTTCGCAAGACGGTATATGTATGGGGGTAGGGAAGGGTGAGACAATGTTTGTGTGTATTATATATATAATGAGTTAGAGCCTAAAATAACGTACTAAGGCACCGCCATAGTGATCACTCACGTTACCGCCAGACGTCTCCCAGGAAACCAAATTCGAAACACTACTGGGTTCGACGAAACAAAGAAGAAGAGATTCACTGGACGGGAAGATGGGCGAAGGATAGAGGGGGAGCCGGCGTGTCATAAAGACCACAGAGCGTACGGGCCCCGCGCCGGGCCGCCCTCGAGAGAAGCGATAGGGGCGCGGGACGGCGTATGCCGACCTTGGCCCCTGGGCAGCGGGGGAAGCGGCCCGGAGCGGGAGGGTTGAAAGAAACAAGGTCGCGTGAGGAATACGCGAATCGGTCGTGAGGATAGCGCTGGGCTGCCAGTCATAGGGGGAGGCGGTGACGGGGCGATATCCGGCGAATAGGGTGTTCCGAGGCGAGTCGCCGGGCTAGGAGGTGGGACGGGGGGGAGAGAGGAGGAGTAGTCGTCAGAAGCCTGTGCGGGGAGGGAATGGGGCAAAGGGGATGACATGTGTGGGGTGGCCTGGGGGCCGCCGAGAGAGCAAATGGCACTAATGTCACCGGGGCGGGCAGGTACGGAGGGGGGGGTGGGGTGGCCGAGCAAGTTGAATGCGGTGTATATAGAAAATGACGAATAGGGGGGGGTGGTGGGCCGAGACGGGGGGTGCGGTGCGGCGGGGAGGATGAGGGGAACATAAAGAGAATGAGGTATAGCCGGACCGGGGGAGCAAACATAAAAATAGGTAGGCTAGACGGACGGAAGGGGGGGCGGCGGTACAGCCGAGGGGCGGGGCGGGGGGAGGGGGGGAGCGACCTAGGGGGGGCGAGACTCACAGCGCGCGCAGGGTGGCGCCTGTGAGATCCGAGAGGAGAGGTGGTGAGGCCGGGTGGGGCTAGGAGGGACAAAGGGAGCGAGGAAAGTCCGGGGGATTAGGAGGGGGGGGGGGGCGAGTCTCAATGGGGTGCGGGGTGTACAACATCGCCAGCCGTACAGGAACCGACTGGGAGATTTGCGAGGAAGGCAGGCGGGGGGGGCGCGAAGGGAGGGCGAAGTCAGACCAGACAGTTCGGGAGGGGGGGAGAGGAAATGTACCCGAGAATTAAAGTTGGAAACATGCGTCTCTCCGGGTTGGTGAGTGGGTATGGGTCGTGTGAGAAGAGTGAAGCCCATTGTCCGGGATCAGCGAGCGCCTGAGCCACCGGAACGGTTGCAGTTTAGTCGGGGGGGTCGGAGTGTGCCCGGTGGGCGGGAAGCCGAGAGGGCAGTACGTCAGCAGTGACGGCAAATGGCGTCGAAGTTAGGTGATGGCGTATAAGAGGCGGAGCTGGGGAGGTCGGGGAGCGTGGGTCCATGCGGAGGCGAAAAGGGGAGCGGTCAAAGATGTGTCGGGAGGGGAGGTGGAGGGGGGTTGGTAGGAGCGAAGAGCGGCACAGTGGCCGAGGGGGAGGGGGAGAAGGAGAGGTGGCACCAACGTGATACGCAGCAAGGTGCGATGGGAGCCGTACGGGGGAGGACCGGAGATGCGAGTCTCGGTGGCCGGGATTATCTATGTGTGGACGTGGTTCGCGTATGCTGGGTCCGCATAGTGTAACCACCAGCGAAGATGTGTGTGTAGGTGATAGGAACCTATGTTCGGACATTGCGTGCGCAAAAACGATTTCACATACTGTGGAGCGTCAGGCTTATTGAGCGTTGGGACATGCAGGGGCGGCAAGAGGCCACGAGGTCGGGGGTGTAGGTCAAAGCCCATGGCCGGGCGTGGAGGAGATGCGTGGAATAGGAGGGAAGGGATGTCGGAGAGGGGAAGGAAGAACGATTGTGCGGTAGGAACAAAAGCACGCGAGCTGAGGGTGGGGGAAGGGGCCGGGAGGTTCCGGCCTCGCGGGGTGCTGCAGAGCTGAGGAGGCAGAAGGAGCATTGGGGAGAGCGAGACGGGCGCGAGCCGTGCGCGGGGGGGGGAGGAGGGGAATGGAGTGCTGGAAGCGGTGAAGCGTCGAGGTGCGGGAACACAGGGCGGCCTAGGAGGAGTGTGTCTGGCCACAAGTCGATAGGGTGCGATTCATGTTTAGTCTAGGGAGTCGGGGAGGGGGAGTAAAAGATGGTAAGTGGCTGGGGTATATATGTTTATGTATTTAATATAAGTACGAGTAATAATTGAATGCAAGGATATCTTTATACCGGTGGTATACGCTAGGTAAAATGCAGTACACCGAGGAGCTTTGGATCAATAACACCCCAATTTGTACCACACGGGTACACAACCCCCCACCGGCCCAGAGTAAAAAGGTTCAGCGGATGAACACTACCTTGGATCCCGCTCCAGAAACGACGCAGTGCTCCAGCCCCGGGTGGGGAGAGTGGGCCCCCCGCCCGCATATAAAGCCCTCGTGCCGAGATGCGGCGTGCGTCGGGTGGCGCGTAAGACCACGAGGGGCTAGGTGGAGTGCTTGGGGTTGGATGAGAGAGGCGAGAGGAGTTTAGGGGGGGGGTGGGAGGAGGGTGGTGCTGGAGTGTGTGTGGGGGATTGTGTGTGGTGTGTGGTTGAAGAGGGGTGTGTGTGAGGTGTGACTACTAGGGGCTGGGCCGTTACATGCCAGAATGATGCACTTAGAGCTTGCAATGAATTAAAGGAGCTAAAGTCGCTCTTGGTGGGGCACAAGATAAGTGCCCGTTTGCCTTAACGCACGGGGTCAGCGTGGG